AACAGGGGATTCTTTTAAAATGAGCTATTTCCTAAAAAGGTTCACTGGGGAGTTGGACAGAAGTGGTTTTGCCAAGTGGCTGTGTGACTCACTGGCCGAGTGACCTTGGGAAGTGACTGAATGTCGGGGATGGGGGGGGCTCAGTTCTTTTTGATGCAAAACTGATTTGCTGATAATAGCAGCAAACACCTACTGAATGCTTATTATGTGCCAGGAAGGTGTAAAATTTTACATGCATTTTAATTAATCATCGTAATAATGCCATCTGGGAAAATGAGGTTGAAAGACAGGTGAGGTGGATTTCCACGGCCACAGAGCAGGTGGCAGAGCTCAGATTTGCACCAAGATCAACCTGCCTCGAGCGCTGGTGCTTTTACCTGTTACCCAATGTCTACCTCAATGGTAGAGTAAATAGATGGTAGAGTGTCATGATGATTAAATAAGTAACGGATGCGACCTTGTTGCACAGGCCTTGCAAGTAAAGAGCCCCATAAATATTAGGTTGAACCCCATGAAACTACTGATACTTGATCATTTTTTTACTACAAAAATGGCGAGTTCATATGCTTAAGCCTAATAGTAGCTTCCGTCATCGTGATACTGATGAAGATGATGATGATGACAATGCATTATTAATGAACAGATTAGCCGGGCTGAATAGATTTTTTTTTTTTGACAATAAGTAGAGATTGAAAAATTGATGCATGTTTCAAATGAGAATTATTTTTTCAAATGAGTCTTGGAAAGTGGGTTTCCTTGCATTGCTCTTTGTGACATTAGGTCGATACTATGTAACGACATGGATATCAATGAGATGCCTACCAACTTGCCCGCGGACACCGTGAAGCTTCGCATAGAGAAGACCGTCATCCGCAGGATCCCCGCGGAAGCCTTCTACTACCTGGTAGAGCTCCAGTACCTCTGGCTGAGTTACAATTCCGTGGTCACCATCGACCCCAGCAGCTTTTACAACCTGAAGCAGCTGCATGAGTTGCACTTGGATGGGAACGCTCTGGCTGCTTTCCCCTGGGCATCTCTGCTGGACATGCCCCATCTGAGGACCCTGGATTTGCGCAACAACAGAATAACCAGTGTGCCAAACGAGGCCGTCAGGTACCTGAAGAACCTCACCTACTTGGATCTGTCAAGCAACAGACTGACCAGGCTGCCGCCAGATTTCCTGGAGAGCTGGTCTCACTCAGTTACAGCACCTGGAAGCCTGGACCTTTCACCAAGAGTTATTCTCGGTAAGCTCACCAGCCTCTGGGCTTCTCGTATGTGGATACTTTGCTGTGCATTCCTGTAGTTGTCCAGTCTTTAAAATCTACTGGATTTGGTCTCTTACTCTGAATTTGCACTTTGAATAGAATAGGACCTTCTCGGTTAAGTTAGGCCAAGTTACCTGTTTTCCCTTGTGTAAGGTATGATGGCCGTGTTTGTGCGTGCGTGGAGGGGTGGGGGAGAAGTAGCCTCGTAAACTGGGACTGTTCCGCTTCCCTTAGAGGGTCTTGAGCTGAGCGACAGGGGCCACCAACCTGCCTTGACTCCTGAGCACGCCGGTGCTCACACGCTGGCACGCTCAGCCTTCTGCTCGAGTTGCTTCTCGACTCACCCTGAGGTTCTTCAGGAGCAGGAAGCGGGTGTTGGCATCTCTGTGAGGCAGCAGGGGCTTGATTCGTTTGGAAGAATTGCTTCCAGTTATGACGCTTGGTAGAGCTGGGATTTCAGCCCGGACATTAGGTTCCAGAGCCACACTGAGTCATTTGCAGTGTAAAAATAAACTAGAAAAGTCTGCTTGTGGCATGAAGTTGGGTGAAGGAGCCAACACTTAAGAGAACAGAATTCAAATGAATATTAATTAGAGAACTAGTTGTAGATTCACAGGCTAAATGTGAGAGGAGAAAGTTCAAGGTTATTCTCCCACGGAGGAAAAGTGAATTTTTAAAATAGAAGATAGAAAAAGTAAACTTTTATCAACATTGACAGAAGAATATGAGCCAGTCACGGACTGCTATTATAATAAAAACAGGCATCATAGAAAGATAGAATTTTTGAACTAATAGGTAAATTTCTACCATGGTTAGAATTTTTTAAATTGCTGTTCTGTCTTTTCTTCTCAATTTAGAATCCACCCCATTGTTAAAAAGCCATAACCACAAATCTCTGAGATAAATTTTTTTCCTATCTTGGCCCTAAGCGGTTATGGGACATCACCTCAGGCCCCAGAGAGACTTAACTGACAGAAAGCCGTGAGGCGCCATCTTGGATCCTTCCGAGATTTTAGCAAACAATTGTATAGTCCCACTCTGGATTTGATTTTTGCTCTGAAGTCCTTTCTTAGTTTGAGAAATTTGGAGACGCTGAGAATGAGAAACAGCTTTGTTACTGAGCCCGGCAAGTTGGGTTCCTTTGCATGTAACGGTTCTTCTTAGCTGTTGTCGCTCCTTTGCATTTCACTCGCAGGAAGCTATCAGGCCGCAGTTCAGCTCTGTGTGGAAACACCTGTAGGTGCACCACGCATGTCACTGAGTGTGCGTTCCACTTTCCTTGTTTCGCACGGCGACAGTGCTGCTGAACTCTCTGCCACTCTATAGCAAGGATCCTCTTTCTTCTATTAGTAGTTTCCGGGAACATTTTCCGCACTTGCCTTTCAGCTCCCACTGGCAGCCTCCTTGAAGGCCCAGAGGCTTCTGCTCACAGTTCTGGAAGCGCAGGCAGACGCTGTCGGTGCTTGCTAACTGGAAGCTGTCAGCTGACGGCATTCCCTGCAGCTGATTCTCGCTTGAAGGGAGCTTTGAGCAAAGCACCTCCATGGCCACCACATGTGACATCATGCCAAGCCATGCCGCTGCCTCTACCAGCCTCTCCAGCCTGTGTCCTGCCATTGCCTGCATCTCACTCTGTTTTTGCTACACAAGACTTGCGTTGCCTCAGTGTGTCTTCAAATTACACAAAACTGTGACATATTCCAGGCTGAGTTAGGAGCTTTGAGCACCCTGTCATACTTATAATGCTGTAAGACCTTTCCTAGTACGTTAGAAATATCTCTTCTATGGTATTTATGGCATTCTGAGGTACCTGGATTCCAATCTGACACTGATTAGCTATGGGATCTTGGTCAAGTCATTTGGCCCTTCTATGTCTTAGCTTTGTCATCTTTAAGATGGGAATAATAATACTATCTTCCTCATAGGATGCTGGGATTGAATGAGCTAATACAGGTAAGTGCTTAGAAGAGAACCTTGCCCAGAGTTCTGTTCAGTGAATATTAGCTGTGATTGTTGATGATCTGAACTAACAGACAGGATATGTTCGTTCAGGTTGCTGGATTGCAGGGCAAAACTGACCTGGAGGTGACTCTACTTACTCCCTCAAAGCACTTCTGTTTTTAGGGAGACAGTAGAGATCTCTTCTTCCCCAAGAGGCTGTGGTGAAACTGAAGTCATCGGAATAACCTTTATCAACTTTTTCCTAATTTCCGTTTTAGGTCTTCAGGACAACCCTTGGTCCTGTGACTGTCACATTTCCAAGATGATCGAGTTGTCGAAGGTTGCCGAGCTTGCGGTAGTGCTGCTTGATCCACTGATGGTTTGCAGTGAGCCTGAGCGCCTCGCAGGAGTTCTGTTTCAGCGGGCTGAGCTGGAGCACTGTCTGAAGCCATCAGTAATGGCCTCGGCCACAAAAATCATGTCTGCTCTGGGCAGCAATGTTCTGCTGCGGTGTGATGCCACCGGCTACCCCACCCCGCAGCTCACGTGGACCAGATCCGATAGCTCGCCAGCTAATTATACAGGTATTTTCTTCATTCAGCCCTATGAAACAGGGAGTTTGCAAAGGTCTGAAATTAAACTCATGTTTTTGTGTGATTTGAAACTGGCTAGTGAATGCTAATAAAATATTCCAAGACAGGGACAGGCGCCGTGGCTCATGCCTGTAATCCTAGCACTTTGGGAGGCTGAGGCAGGAGGATTGCTTGAGATTGGGAGTTCAAGACCAGCCTGAACAAGAGCAAGACCCCTGTCTCTACAAAAAATAGAAAACTTAGCCAGGCGTGGTGGTGTGCACCTGTAGTCCCAGCTACTGGGGAGGCTGAGGCAGGAGGGTCGCTTGAGCCCAGGAGTTTGTGGTTGCTGTGAGCTAGGATGACGCCACAGCACTCTAGCCAGGGCAACAGAGTGAGACTATGTCTCAAAAAAAAAAAAAAAAAATTCCAAGATGGTTGGGTGCAAAGGATTTGAAAGGTACATTTTATTGGCTAATATTTTTCTCAGTTTAGTTTATCTAACTGCCTAGATAAAACTAGACAACCTCGACTGGGCGTGGTGGCTCACGCCTGTAATCCTAGCACTCTGGGAGGCCGAGGCGGGTGGATCGCTCAAGGTCAGGAGTTTGAGACCAGCCTGAGCAAGAATGAGACCCCGTCTCTACTAAAATAGAAAGAAATTATCTGGACAACTAAATATATATAGAAAAAAATTAGCCGAGCATGGTGGTGCATGCCTGTAGTCCCAGCTACTGGGGAGGCTGAGGCAGGAGGATCGCTTGAGCCCAGGAGTTTGAGGTTGCTGTGAGCTAGGCTGACGCCACAGCACTCACTCTAGCCCGGGCAACAAAGCGAAACTCTGTCTGGAAAAAAAAAAAAAAAAAACAAACTAGACAACCTCAACTTTTTTTCTTAGGTAGAAAACAAAATGATCTAGTGGATGGATGACCACAGACAAGGCTTTTGTCTTGCTTCGTCTTGGATACAGCTCACTTCAAAATGTATAACCATTACAATTTTTTAGAAAGGGCATTTTGTACAAGTTTCTCATTTTTGAATAATTATTTAATAATTTAATTATTAATATTAAATCAATATCATTTTAATAATAAATTACATGGAGACCTTATTGTAAATCAAAAAGCATAATTTTTTAAAATATTGATTGCATTGACTTTTCCGCTCCTACTATGGCAAAGGCCATGCTTTGGCCCCTGTTTCAACAGTGATATTCTGACAATTAAAGGGGTACATTTTTAAGACCCTTCAAAATTAAATTAAAATTGAGGTTGAAATAATGAAACCTGATAGAATTTCTAAAAGTTCAGGCCTAATATTTTTACATATAGACAGTTAACAGCCCACAGTTTCAGCTCGTGAGTTGAGTTTGGGGCTACTGGAATGCTGTTATATGCATTATTATTCTTTGGAAAGCTTCTGAAATCAAGACAGAATGGAAATATGTTCAGATATTAGTAATTAGGAAAGCACAATTCCAATTTTTGCAAAAACTGTATATTATTCTGCAAATAAAAGAATCCATAGTTTCCTAGATTACCTAAGTTAAATATAAAATGAATGGTTTAGAATACAAATGATGACTCTTCCATGCCGGAAAATAATCTGCTGTACCTCTGGCTATGTGGACAGATGCGTTTTATTACAGTGAAAAAAATATCTTGCGAAATCTTTAAGTCAAGTCTTATGATAAACATTTTACAGAATCACGGTGAGTTAAAATTGGAAGGGACCTTTGAGATTGCTCTGTCTCATTCCCTTATTTTACAAATGCAGAAACAGAGGCCTAAAGACACTAATTGACTTGTCTAAAATCACATGCTACTTAGTGGACAAAAGTTTGCTAAGACCCAAGTCTCCAATTCCCATCGTTTAAAAATACCCTTCTCCCTACAGACCTCCAACACCTGGCAGGAGGGTCTTGGACCTTCATGTAAGCAATGTGCACCACCGTCACCTGCCACCAGACACTCGCAGGCTGCCGTTTCCCATTTCCCGTGGCTCATGTGAAAGGGATGCGGGTAGAACACGCAGTTTCCTTCTCAGTCGGCATGACTGCTCGAGCTTTTCCTTTTTTTCTCACTGCGAATGCTTTTGTTTTCTTCCAGTGATACAGGAATCTCCAGGGGAAGGAGTGAGGTGGTCCATTATAAGCTTGACGGGCATTTCTTACAAAGATGCCGGGGATTACAAGTGCAAGGCCAAAAATTTGGCTGGGGTGTCGGAAGCTGTGGTTACCGTGACAGTGGTGGGCGTTGTCACCACCACCGTATCAGCAGACACTTCTGAAGGAAGACCCGGAGATCGTCCTGAGCAGGTCCAGCCAGGATCTGGAAGATGGCCGTCTACACCCAGTTCATTGTCATCTCCCTGGTCCTCTTCCTCCTCTCCTTCCTCCCCCACGTCTTCCACTTCTCTGTCTAATTCTACTCTGTCTCCTTCTGGCATGGCTTCCTTCTCTTTATCTCCTCTCTTCTCCTCCATCGTTCCTTCAGCCGCAACCCGAAGCACTGGCATTTCAGCAAGCCCCACCACGGCCAGCAGGCAGTCACTCCAGCTCCATCCGGATGGGAGAAGAACCTTAAAGGTGGAGATGGGCGGAAGTAAGCTTCCCCTAGCCAGCGCCAGTAGGAAGGAAGAGCTGGCCTTGTTGGATCAAGCAATGCCTACGGAGACGAATGCCACGATAGAAAACCTCAGGGTGGTCAGCGAGACTAAAGAGAGCGTGACTTTGGCGTGGAACATCATTAATACCACACGTAACTCGGCGGTGACCGTGCTGTATTCCAAGCATGGTGAGACGGACCTGCTGCTGTTGAATGCGGACTCCGGCAAGAACCAAGTAACCATAGATGGCTTGGAGCCCGGCGGGCAATACGTGGCATGTGTCTGTCCAAAAGGAGTGCCTCCCCAGCAAGACCAATGTATCACCTTTTCTACCAGGAGGGTCGAAGAAGATGATTCTCAATGGTCTTTGCTTATTGTGGTGACCAGCGTTGCCTGTGTTGTTGTCTTGCCATTGATCTTTTTCTTATTGTACAAAGTTTGCAAACTGCAATGTAGGTCAGACTCTTTCTGGGAAGACGATTTGGCAAAAGAGACTTATATCCAGTTTGAGACCCTGTCTCCCAGATCTCAAAGCATAGGGGAGCTTTGGACACGAAGGCACAGGGACGATTCAGAAAAATTGCTGCTCTGTTCTAAGGCAAGTGTGGAATCTCACGTGACTTTTAAAAGTGAGGGTTCCAGACCAGAGTATTTTTGCTAAGGTTCTGCAGCTCAGACACGTGTGAGCTACAAAATCAGGATCTAACGGTGTAATTGATGCTCTGTTTGGATGATTTTTGGACAGACTTTCCCATCCTATGTGAAAATCACAACTGGAATGTTTTTAAGCATGTTTTTTAAAAAAAATACCATGAGACTTCTGAACTGAAAAAACAAATATTTTTGATTTTCGTTGTGTGGAAAATGTCCCCAGAAATGATTTTTAGGGTGGTGCTTAATAAGTTGATTATAATTTTTAGGGAAATATTTTAGTTCTTAAAAATAAGTTCATGTGAGAATAGCAAGTGAAGTCTGCATTTTGAAATGATAGTTTTTTGAGCAGTGAAGAAAAGATTCGTATCACCAGCTAAGCCTTGATGTTCATTCATGTTCAAAGTGCTTTACGGCATTTGCTGTGGACGTTTGCTGGCATTGCCTAGCAGGTGAGGGTGGGATTGTAAAGAATTTTGCATTTAGTAAGGTTAAATCCAACCTGGTAGAGGGGGAGGGCTCCGTCTCTTGGGACCGTTACACATCACAACACTGTAGATTTGTGTTCATATTGCAGGTAAGAAAATCTTCCCTTTGTCCTTAGAAATATAGGTGTTAGCAAAAATAAGTATGAAAAAAGTATGACAAATAGACAATTTCCAAGAGACTGTAACTGCTGCATTTTAACACATCTGCCAACAGATTGTATGGGTTTTTAAAATGATGTGTTAATTTTAAAAGTCTCTTTAGTACTTTGATATTTGCTCTTTCTTCCTTCCTTCTTCCTTCCCCCCTTGTCTTTCTCCCCCTCACCTTCCTTCATTTTATTTTTTTCCTCCTCCTTTATCAGAAGATGTACAGGTAGCCAAAGGACCACACACGAAGCTGTTTGTCTTTTGCCACATTATACTGTGATCCTCTGGATAAAGAGCAGGCCTTTGAAATTGCTGACTGCCCTTTGAAGTCTCTTTTGGGTCCCCAAAGGATATTTGAGGATTTTGAAAGAGAAGCTTCAGTGGATTCATTTGGCCAAACTCTTTTTCTAGGTTAAAAACATCAGAGAAATTGAATTGGAGTGAGTCACATGAATACATAGGAAAGAAGCTTCCTAAATAAAGTTCGGGTTTTTGAAAAAGACTATTCGTAGCTGTAGCGTCCTGCAAGAGACATCGTGGCTGCGAGCTTAACCGTGGCTCTGAGGTCCACTCCCGCGTCTGGCAGGGCTGAGGTTACATGTCGCTGAGCAGCATGCTGCAGCCTGGCCTGGGATTCTGACGCTGGCCCAGGGATTTCCAGGGGACAAGGCCACCTCTGCAGAGATGCAGCTTTCGTAAGCCCCGGAACAAAGCTTAACCTTACAAGAATCACTTGAACTCCCTTTATGAAAGAAACACCTGGAAACTCACCTGGACTGAATACGGGTATAATAAAGAGGAAGGATCCCCCAAACTCTGAGCGTGGTCTCCGGGTGGACGCCCTCCCAGTCAGGCGGTCACCTGCCCCCTGCCACCCCATCCTGCATTAATGACAGCCGCCGCCAGAGTAAACTGCTGGAGCCCAGGCAGCGTCTGAGACTCGTCTTGGACAAGAATCGAACCAAAGGGGAGAAGTGAGCCCTTGGGAAGCTGGCTCTGTGGGACCACCTGAGATCCCTGGACATGACAGCGGCCGTGAGGATGGGACCCGAGTGTCCAACGACACCGTTTCTATGCGAGAATCAGGAGAGAGCGACTGGGGACTGGTTCTGATCCGGAAATGGGGTGACGCCCTGTGGCAGCTCCACAGCGAGCCTGGTGTTCTGCTTTCGGACCCACGGCCGCCTTCTACCTGCACTTTGCCTGTGCCTCTGCCGCCGAGGTTGCCGCAGGCCAAACCTGCCAAAATTGTTCTCAAGACCCCCCCCCCCCCCCGCCCAGGAAGGGGGTCAGGCTCCCAGGAGGAGGATGGTACCGAGGCACCGTGGGGGTAGGGGACACCCTGGCTTGGAGACCCAGCTGCCAGCTGGTGCGTCCAGCCCCTGCTGGGGAGGGAAGCTCCCCCTCCCAAGGGGTCGCGGCATGGTGACGCCACGGACCAGGAAGGCTCAGGTAAAGCTTATCTGCAGAAAGCGTGTCTGCTATTGTCCGCCAGCGGAGGAATGAGAAGGGAATCCTCTGATGGACCCTAGATTGATGCCACCAGCAAAGTTACCAAATCACCCAAAGCATCGCTGCCATCCGCGTTCCTCTGAGCCCCCCAAGGAGACGGCGCTGCTTCGGAAGGGGGGTACCTCCCCACGGTGCCTGCTGGGTGCTGATGGCAGCGCCGTGGGCAACACGCCCAAGCCCCGGGGGCTCCCCTCAGTATCGCGCCCCTGCGCCTGGCCCATCCGGAGTGCCGGGATTACCACCAGCTGCGACAAAGGCATCGCCAGTAACCGCCAGGCGCAGTTAAGAAAGCATCAGCCACCTCCACCACCAGCTTGGCTGAGGAGGAAGGCACCCAGACACCATGGAAGTCCGCAAAGAGGTACAGTCGTCCACCTTCATCTGTGGGGGATACATTCCAATCCCCCCAGTGGATGCCTAGCACCGCGGATAGTACCGAACCCTGGATATACTCTGCATGCATTTCTTTTTCCTTTTCACAGTGCTTAGGATGAGATTTGGGAGCAAAGGGTTAATTTAAAGACAGAATTTATATAATTAAAAAGGAAGCAAAACATTAAAATTTGGAAAATTTGCAGTCAAGTAAGGAAGAAGAGTGTTAGGGCGTGGCCAAGCGAACACTGGCTAAAGAGATTAGCGGGGAAGGAAGAGAGCCAGGTGCTGCTCCCCAGGCAGCAGGGAAAGGCCCCGAAGGCATTCAGGGATCTGAATGCTGCCTCTCCCCCCACAGGCCCAGCCACCTAGGAGAGCAGAATGGTTTTGAGGGTCAGGCCTGGGGCTTCCTCCACAGGCTCTCTGCCCAGGGCTGCCTGGGGACTCTGCTCCTTGCATTCTGGTAGAGCTCTCATTGGCCACCCAGCTGTGGCTCAAATGGCCCCAGGTGTGGCTTCACCCAAAACTCTGGAAGAATCAAGGCATAAACCTTGTCAGTATCCACATGGTGCTGATTCTGCAAGAGTGCAGAGCGCAAGACCTGTGGAAGCTTGGTAGCCTTCACTCGGGTTTCAAAGGATGTACTGAACAGCCTGGGGGCCTAGGCGGACACTTGTTGCAGGGGCAGGGCCCCTGCCGAGAACCCCTACTGAGCAATGCCTGGGGGAGCTGCAGGGGTGAGACAGCCTTTAAGACCCAGAGCTGTAGAGCTACCGGTGTGCAATGCCAGCCTGGGAGAGCTGCAGGCTTGAGACTCCAATCCCAGAAACTAAAATGTGGGCTTGTAGCCTTCCTCAAGAGTAAGGCAGCAAGAGTTATAGCAGAGAAAGAGTTTAATATTGCGGGTGCCGTGTGAGGAGATGGGGGGAGTTCTCAAATCCGTCTCCCCAGGAATTGGGGAGAAAGGATTTTTAAAGATAGTTTAGTGGGCACAGGGCTAGGCAATTGGGTCTGATGACTGGCTGGGTTCTGGGAGGAATCGTAGGGGTGTAGAAATTGTCTTCTTTACTGATTCAGGTGGGGGTCGCAAGACAAGTTGAGTCAGTTCCTTGGTCTGGGCCACTGGTCTGGGTGGGTCAGCTGCTCCACGAGAGTGCAGGGCCCAGAACATCTCTCAAACACTAGCCTTGAGTTTCACAAGGGTGGTGTTATCCATGGGAGCAATGAAGAAAGCTGAGAGTCTTCATGACCATCAGCTGTGAGACTCCTGAGTAGTGAGCAGTTATAGGAAAGCAGGTGAGGGAACAACGGCTGGTTATATATCTATTTCTCTACCACAGTTCCCACTTTGTGGCCCTTTATTAATTTTATAAAGGGCAGGTTCCAACTGAGCATTCTTTTGCACTGTTTCTACAGCCAGCAGCTCCTGGAAACGCTTCGAGCCTCAGTTGCGCTTGGCCGCCATGATGGACGAGACCTGAAACTTTGGCTCTATCGGACCACCTCTAAGATCAAGCTTTGGTGTCCACAGCATCATCTCCCGTGCACACAGTGTCTCCAGACCTCACTGCTCATTCTGAGTCCTCCTGCCGCGTTCCCACCTGGCCTTGCTCCGCCATCCGGTACCTCCGGGCCCGCTACCTCCAGCTGGTTCACCTTCGTCTGCATCCCCTGAAACCACCTTCCCAGCCCCAGCGTGCCCACTGCATTTCGGTAATCCAGGTGGCTGACGTTCCACATCCAACTGTCGCTTCTCCAGACCTAGTCACTGATGACTTGGCACTGAGGTCACTGACAGTCTCCACCACAGGGTCATTTCGGCCGCGTACTGAGCAGCCAAATCTTCCTGCTCGCTGGGCACACCTTTGCCAACCTTCTGCCACTTGTCCATTCCTTACATCAAGCCCTGGGGACTACCTGTCAACTGCTCTTCCCTTGCCATTGGTGAGCTGCCCCAGGTCACGGCTGAACCCTGCTCTCATTATCTCCCCTAATTACCCAGCTGGACGCTGGACTTACTATACCTCTCTCTATGCCCTCTCTGCTGATGCAGTTTGGTTCACACCAGATTATTCCAAGGATGCCACTAACTCCCACGTGGTCCACGGGATATGCTCATGCTGATTGGGGCACCTGGACTGGCTGGCTGGGCACGTCTCATCTGACCGTCCCCGAGGGAGGGCGGTCCTGTTCTGGTGACTCTCCTTGACCTCCGTCTGCAGTCTCACCCACCCCCTTCTTGGATTTCCCGTACCATGGCATGGCCGGAAATTGCGCTAGTGTTCTGGGCCCCCACCCTGCTGTCCCTCCTCTCGATGCCACAAGGACGCAATAGGGGCAGTTGTGGGAGCCAGCTTGCTAAAGATTATATTCTCTCTATATTGAAGATTTGGGAGTATAGAATAGATTTCTAAAGCTGTGTCAAGAGTCCTGAAAAATTCTGAGATGTGAGTTCCAAGAAAATACAATATTTTATTTAAGAGAGAGATTG